TAGGAGCTGGAACCAACTTCCAAGGGAAGTGGTGCTGGCCCCTACCCTGGGGGTCTTTAAGAAGAGGCTGGATGCCTACCTGGCTGGACTCATTTGAGTCCCGTTTCTCTTTTTGGGGTTTTTTGTTGTTCTCCCGCCCTGGCGGGGGGTCGGGCTAGAAGATCTACTAGGTCCCTTCCGACCCTTAATCTATGAATCTATGAAACAACCTACCCAGTCCCCTTTCATCACGTTGGGAAAAAAGTAATTCTTAACATAAGGGAAAAATTATCATTTGAATGCATATAGAAATTGCAGTGAAATAAGGCTGATAATACAGTTAATAAATTAAGAAGAAGATTGAGTGAAATTCAGGACGAAAAGGATCTAAAAAGAAGTCTTCAGAAATGTTTTGTTCTTCTCTCTTCTACATAGTCTTTAGTTGGTGCTCATTATTTTACCTAGCCCAATTATTTTTTTCCTTGTTTGGTTTAATAAAAATGGTTATTGTTATTAAAATAAAGGCTTTTCTTCATGACCAACTATACCAAGTTTTGGCAAGGAAATGAGCTACTGTCCAAAGACAAAAACAATTCTGATTCAGTAAGAGGTCTGATTGTCACATCCAAAGTTCTGTGCATCTGAATAGCTCCTATTCCACCTATTAGGCCCCTAAACACGACCCTATTCTACCATGCTTGAACCCTTAAAAATATTAATCTAACAGGTGGCATTGTCATGTGCTTTTTTGTGATTTAGTCTTAAGGCTAAGATGACAGTGATTTTCAGGGGCTTGAACAGAGTGCAATAGCATTATGCTTGGTGCCCAACACACGGAATAAGATCTGGCCCTGAGAGTACAGGTTGCATACACCAGGTATTAGATCTACAAACAGCATTGGTAATACGATATTGCAGTAATAATACTGCAGCTTTGTAGCCTTCTGTTTGAAGATCTCATGGTTAATGAATTAAACCTAAAGAGCCTGTATTATCTCCATTTTTATGGATTGGAAAATTGAGGACTGCAGGTTAAGCTGTTTCCAAAGGCATCAGTCAGGATTATAATCCAGGTTTACTGACTTTCAGTCCTGTGTTCTGTCCACAGGACCATGGTGTCTCCCTGTGGTCTCATTTTAAAATTTAATTACTAAGGGACTAAACGTGCCAGGCTGGAAAATGTATGACCTATTTTAAATGGATCCCTTTGTGGAGAATATTTGTGACATAAAATGGCACCTCAAAAAGCTCTTTACGCTCCCAAGAGATGTTAAAACAATGGCACAATGAGACTGGAGGATTTTATGACCCATTTCAAACATGGTACCTCCTGCCATGCCATTTACCCTGTCTGTACTTCCATCCCCTCCCTGACACCCCTTCTTGCCACCATGAGTTGAGGACAGCTAAGGAAAAATAAGGAGGCAAGGTTTCTGAAGATTCCCCTGTATCCATGAGCTGGAAAAGATGTAAAAATGAGTGGGTTGTTGACTGGTGAACCCAGCACCAAAGATGATTGTTGTTAGTTCTTATAATAACAAAAAAGGATTTAGTTTTTACAGCTATTTTAGCTTAAGGGTTTGCCCACAAATCTCAGGCTGCTGCAGGGAGGGAATGGAAATATGTACAGGGTAAATGGATTGCTCAGGAGTTGGGGCTGCCTTATCAATTAAAATCCTTCCAAGGCAGCTCTTATCTTGACTGGCCTAGGGTAAATAAATCGATTGTTATCAGTCTAGTGAACAGGTGTCTACAGAGCAACTGAATGTACATGGAGGTGCAATCATCGACTTATCCCTCCAAGTGTATTAGTGGGAGTGCATTAGTGGGGGTGGGGAAGCCTTTATTGCCATTGCACATACTTCAGCTATTCTGTAAATTAGCAAAGGAGTCCAGCTTGCAAGCCGTCAGCCCATCACTCCTCATGTGTTCTTCAGTTGAGGAGAAACAAGATATCCCCTTCAAAATTTTTGCTTATGCTGCTGCAAATAAAGGTTGCTACAGAGAGCCACTGCAAATCTGGAACCCCAACCTTTTTGTATTAAATCTTCTGTATTTGTTATCTCACCTTTTCCCCCACCTCTCTCTTCCGCCAGGGTCATTGCTTTCCTTGAAGCTATTGTGTGCATAAAGTTTGGACAAGATCTCTTTTCCAAAACACAGATATTGTATGTTGTGTTTTGGTTTCTTTGTGTGGTAAGTAAAATTTCTTTCTCATGAAATATGGCAGAGCATTGAGAGTCTGTTAATAACATCAGATACCAAAATCTACATTGGCAAATGTTGGGTTTGACTGGCATCTTTCAAAGCATGCTTTCTCTAAAGTTTTTTTTAAAAAGGTAGATGTGTTTTTCTGTTTGTGACATAATGGGATACAATCCTTTCATCTACACTTTTGAAGTTGTCACCAGTTTTATTTGTTTTCTATTTTATAAAGAAAAATATTAGAAATAACAGGTTCATGTCAGAGAAAGAGACAGACAAAGACACCCTTCTGGGTATAGAGAAACAAATGCTCCCTTGGAGTGGTTTCAGAAGGGGAGAGGGAGCTTCTGCCCATGCACCATCATGCCCCAACTTTGACTCTGGATGAAGCAGGGTTAAAGTAGGAGCAGTTTTGCAACACTGTGGCATGACAGTTACAGTATAACAGCTGCTGCACAGTCCTGAACAACACATCTCCCTTTCTCTTTTGAAACTGCTTCAAGTGTATCTCTGAGTGGTCTTTACTTTGTATTGCAACAGGCTCCAGAATAAATACCTGTGCATTAAAGGTTCAAATAAATTTAATAGCCATATATATATTCAGCCAGATCATTTTTACGCACTTTTCTTCCTTATTTCAGCATTGATGTGTGCAAATACAATCTAAAATAACCACTTTGACATTAATGTGTGCTCATCTTGCTGATCTTGCCTAACTTGGAGTTAAGTCTGATGCCAAACCTATGTATTATAACTAGTGAGAAAAATGTCCTTTTAATCAGGGCCCAGACTATTATGAACATATTTTATACAGGTTATAGGAAGTCAAACTTTTATTCCTTTCTTGGGGTCTGGCTTTATTCACAAAGGCCCCCTCCCTCAAAGTACTAGACTGTGTAATTTTTTACACTCAGTTTAAAATTGTATAAGTACTTTGCTAAATTGGAACAACCTTCATCTCAGCCCTAAATCTTTTCCACCCCTGACAGTTCTTAAGTGCAATCATATGTTGCTTATGTGTTTACAGTATTGTAACTTTGCATGATAATGTGTATAGTGTTGGGAAGGAATTACCAAATGGGGGCCTTGGTCCTACCAAGCTTATATACATGATAAAATATGTGCATATGAGCAGTCCCACTGAATTTGGTGAGGAAGAACTACTCCTGCCATAATGGATTGTAGAGAGACGCCCTGATATCATGAGGATATTTGCATTTGTAAGTGCTCTTTGCTTAGTAAACAATATGGATTTACCAGTGGCTTGTGAAACAAAGGGCCCGATTCTGTTGGCCATTCATTTGTTGCTGTTAAGCCAGCAGGGAATTTAGGTTGAGTTTGTAAACGTGTTAAATAGCTCTTCTCTTCCTTACAGGCTTTTACTACTTTCCTGTGTTTATATGGCATGGTTTGGTATGCAGAATACTATGGCCACCGAGAAAAGGTACTTTGGGGGAGTCCATTTTCTTTCTTCATTTTAAATCCGTACAGAAGGCCAACGTATATTTAAGTCTTTGTAAAAACAAATAAAATGTTAAAAAAGAGGGGAAGTAGATGTGATCCAGAGCTCATTAAAATCCATAGAAATTCTTCACAGAATTCTTGTTTTAGATCAGGCCTAACATTACTGTAATCTGCAATCCAAGCTATTCAAAATAGGCCTGTGATTTTATCAGTGGGCTCTGGAAAACTAATGTCCCCGTCATATAGATGGAAGAATATTACAATACAAAGCTTTGTAACAGAACAGCTCACACATAGAAGCTGACATATGTTCCTCTTACATCAGTTTTTTGTGCTTCCTACCCAGGTCGGGGAACGGCTTTTATCGTTGTTAACAGTGTTTTATCAGAATTCCTATTGATGCTTTAAATCTGTCTAACAGGAAATGTTAATATAGAAGAGAGTAGCAGTGAGTGGTTACTAAAAGCAGCATCCCAATGACTTGTTCTTCTTGCTTTTTACAGACCCTGTCAGAAAGCGAAGACAGCCCATACAGCCCAGATGCCTCCTGGCTTCATTCTAAATTCACAAAAGGTATTGTTACCTTTGTGGATTCATTCTCAGGGCTGTTCACTAGGAATGAGACTTAGTCTGTCCAAATGACACTTGAGAAATCTGCACTACAGATTATTTGGTTCACTTGCACATGCCCACGGGTACAGGTATAGACTACCATGCCCACTGTTTTCACTGAATTCCTTTCAGCTTTGTTAGAATTTAACTTTTAATGTAACAAATAACCCTTTCTCCTGTTGTTCCATTCTGTCCTAATATTGAATTCTTCACCTGGAGAATTTAATGCACTTCATAACTAGGTCAGGCAGGGTGTCTACTGACCTTGTCCACGTTTGGTTTCAAGTAAACATCTGAATGTGAAATATACTTTTATTCCTGCTTGTTAGTGAGCAGTCAGGAATGTGCCCTGGGGCTTATGTTCCTACTGCCACTCACCAAGTCAGTGCAAGGCTGATGATCACAGACAGCTTTTTCTCTCTCTAAACCAAGTCATCTAGCTTGTCTTCTTTCCTTTTTCTTATGTTGGAGGTCAATTGGGCAGCTCATTTTTTACTTGTTCTTTTGAAAGGCCCTTCTTATAAACAAGTTTAGCACCTGGAAGTTGCCTGTCAGTGATTATACTACTGGAGTATTAAAAAGAAATGCTCTCCATTTAATTTCTTGCAGTCCTGACACTGGACACAGTGCAACATGTTTCTCTTAGTCGCATGTACAGATTTTCTAGGTATTAATTTTTTCTAGGTTTGTTACTTAAAAGGGAAGCACCAGATTTCTTTTAAAAACATACTTGTATTCAGATGGATTTTCCACCACATCAGAGGAAAAACTTTAATTTTTGGTTAGCAGCTTTTATAGCATCCCTAACTTCATTTACATTATCTGATCATTTTCAATTTTTTTTATATAGTAAAATGTGAATGAAGTTAATAATAGAGTGTATTGGTAATAAATATACCTCCCCACCTGCACAAGTCCAAGTGTGGGACTGCACGTGATAAAGATCCAGAAAAAGAAATATTGTAAAACCAACAGTCTTTTTTGTAATTAAGCCACTAGATGGAGTGCTAGTATCAACCAAATTTTATCAATAATTAATTCAAATATTACATGTCTAGGAAGCTTTTAAAACTGAAAAACAAAGAGGCTTTTGGAACAGAGTAGCTGCAAATTTGAAGTGTATTTTTTATTTCTCTGCAGGTACTGAAGATAGTCCACCAAAACATTCAGGCAACAGCGAGAGCCATTCATCGAGAAGGAGGAATCGTCATTCCAAAACAAAAGTAACCAATGGAATTGGCAAGAAATAAGACCAGTCTTTAAAGATGTTTCAGAGTGTCCCTAAAGATGAGAAGGAAAACTGCACCTGGTTCTGAATTCCCAAGTGGAAGGTTACTAAGAATACAGGAGGAAGATGTGGGGGAGAAATGCTTTCAGTAATCGAAGGGCCTAGTATCTCTAAAAGTGGAGCCATCAGTGTATTGCAAACCATCGCCTGCTGTCACTTGCCACTCACTGGCTTCAGTCTAATTTCTTCAGCACTTGGCACTCAAAAACTAGTAGTATGTTGAAAAGAATTGTTTGCTCACAGCAGGTATAGGATGGTTTATGTTCGGGTATTGCCGTTGTATTTTTAATGTCTTTATTAGTTAAGAATCAGTAACCCAGAAGTTAATGGACTGATACCCAGTTGGCTTGGTTTTGTTTTTCTGGTTTGTTTTGATTACTTTGTTTTGAAGTGCATGCAGTCTTTTGACAGCTCTGCTCTATATTCTCAGCCTGAGAACTAAGTTTTTTTATACTAATGGTTTGGAGCATTTTTTTAAAATTCCATGCTTGTATCCAGTCAGTGATTTGATTTACAGACTTTCTACTTGGTGGCAGGCTTTTACCAACTAAGGAGTATGTCCAGGTTTCTTGTAATGGTCAAAGACTGAACTTTAAATAAGCTTTTCTTTTCTTCTCATTCTGTTACACGCTCTTATTTGTTCAGGCCTAATTAATATGCATACATGAAAACCCACTACAAAGTAGTGAGGACTTTGCCTACTGCCCCCAGGGACTGCTGTTATTTAGTTTTACTTACATTTTCCCCATTACTTCTGTGTATTTTCTGCTATGAACTGCATCAGGTGTTAAGTGTAGGATATCACTTAGACAGTATTTTTTCAGCTGTTTCATTATTTGTAATATACTTATGCCTTTATTTGCCTACATCTGAACAGTACCTAAAATGATTCCACTGTGTATTTTTTTTAAATAAGATTTATGGTAAAGGCTGCTTTGAAGGCTTTGGTATACTGTCATGCCTGATGATAAAGCAGCTTCTCCATGAAGTACTGTAGTGTGCCTGTTCTGTAAACTTTCAGTAACTTGTGAAGGTTTACTGTGTTCCTCAAGGGGTTAGCATAATGTTATTGTGCTAGACAGTGTTATTTTGCTATTTTCTAATATGCTATCAAATAGCATATAGCAAATAAACCACTTTTTGAAACATCCGTAATAATTACAATCACAGTCAAAATGCATATTACTATTTCCTAAGATGCTATCAAATAGCCTATAGCAGACAACCCTCTTTTTGCAACATCTGTAATAATTACAGCCACAGTTCAAGTAGGTAATTCGCGTGAACTGCAGAGTGTAACGATCAATCTTAAATCAGACGTTCAATATCAGCTAGTTTTTATACTAAGTTATCAAGTTATCTTAATTATTTTAGGTGCCAACTAGTTTTGGGGACCTGTAACCCCAAAGAGCTCAGAAAACCAGACAGGTTAAGCAAGAATCAATAGTATTTAGAAGTCACATGCCCTTATAGTAACTATAATTTTAAATGTATCCGAGTAATGTTACTGCAGTTTGCCACAGGTTGCATACTATAAAATATGGTAAAGGCCTCATAGGAGTGTATAATACAATAAATAGGGGAAGCATCCTCTGTAATCAAATCAAGGACTATGCATGTGCCACAGATTATCAAAATTTTGAATGCTGCTGCCTAACTCTTTGGAAGCCCTTTTTTCAATCAAACACAAATGTACAACTTCAGAACCAGTTTACCGTGAAAGCTGCTATGTCATTGTTGCTGCATCTCTGTTAAATGTTACATGAAAAGGTCAGGAAGATTTAGATTTACGTATAAATATTCTGTTTTTGTATTACCAGTGCTGAGTACCTTGGATATCCATTTGTTCTCTTCATGCTGTATACTGTTGAATGTATTTGCAACTTCATTTGGATATTCAAATATGTTGTTTCGTATTTTTTCTGGTTATTAATTCAGTCACTGAAAGACTGAAGATGGCATTGTGAAGTTGTTTTCTATTGAATCAGTACCAAAGCAAGTGTCAGGCTTCATCAGGTTGTTTTTAAGGACCACAGCTTTCAAAGGCAAAAGCCTGTTCTGTACTTGCAAAATGTGCATACACTCACAGCACACATCAAGCTCACCCTGGCCTGAGTAAGCTGGCTTCAAGCTCAGTTGTTCAAGTTCAGTTGTTCATGTAGTGATGCATGCAGACATTTTGCAAATGCAGAGCTGATGCTCACCCCATGGGTTGTATCTAAAAATGTAAAAAGGGAAACATAAGAGAGTCACTAGCTGAAAGTTCTAATTTCTGGATGCTGGCCAGTAGAAAGTGAGTCAAGGCCTTCAGCTCATACCTATGAAAGAGATGTTGTCTTGACAGTATCTTTTAAATGTTTCACATAAGAGTGTTTGGGGGTTTTTTTTCCATTTCCTTTAAAAATCGGGGAGGAGGGGAGAAAGCATCAAGTCATTAGGTGCTGTTTGTAAAATGGCACTTTCTGCACTGCCAGTAATCTTGGCTGAAATTAACAAGTGTTTTCACGGGTCATCTGCTGACTGACAACTGCCATTTCTGCTCCATTTTCCATGGAAATTGCCTTTGCATTGGTAGAAATAAGAAAGGTGCTTTTGATCAGCTGCAAAACAAACGTGATCTCATAATCAAACTTCAAAGCATTATTGCTGGACCCTGTGTGACACCTGTCATGAATAACTTAAGCTGTTGTAACAATATCCTTATATCAAGAATTTTGCTGCTTGACCAGTGCATTGTCTTTCTTATAACCACTTTCTGTCTTTCCATATAATCCACTCTTACCTTCCTGTCTTCCTTTCTCTCCTTTTTATTTTTTTATCTTCCAGTTTTAAAACATCTGCCCCCTGTCACTGAAGGGACTGAATTTGCCCTCTGGAGACAGCCCTTCATGGCAGTCATTGAAGGGGGGCCAGTTCAGAACAACTTGGCAGAAACAAGGGGGTGGTGTCCACAGTTTACAACACTGTGAGTAGATTTAATAGCAATAGACAGTTTTCAAGAAAGAACGCATCGAATAAACAGGAAGCCACCACAAGTAAATGGGACCAGCAGCTGCCAGTATTGTAGTTCAATGGCAAGTGCTTTAAATCAAGTATGGTGTCAAATGAAATCCATGGAGGAGTTTACTTTCCTTATTCATCTGTGACAAGAACTGTTTGGTGTTCTATCTATTAAAACCATGATATTTACTACATTTCTCACAAGATGGCACAGGAGTCACCCTGCATTTAACAGCATCTCCCATAGAATTGCTCTGTATCAATTGCGAACTACTGTGTTTTGCAGTAACTCAGTAAAAAAAAATCACCCCTATGTGTTTGTCATCTGTATACAATGGGACATTGGGGTTGATCATGTTACCTTTGAAGCTGTTAATTTTTATTCTGCCTCTTGAGAGCTCACCAAATCCTCTCAAGATTATTTCATGCATAGAAGTCTCACTGCAGTTGGCCACCTGGGAGGAACAGGCTTTTAAAATATGTATGGTAAAACCACAACTTTCTTTTATTTTAGATGCACTTCAGATTTCCAGAATGCCAAATGAATCTTTCCTAATGAAAAGGCTTTTGATTTTATATTTCCAGTGTGTGACTCCATTCTTTCATGTTTACATAGTTTGCAGTAATAGAGATGTTGCAAGTTGGCTTTGATTGCAGGCTTTTGAAGAGAAGAGTTTGTCATAGAAGAATAAGTTACTAGCAGAAGGGTTTCTGCTTATGCTAGGGAAGTGAAATACCATCATTTAAGTAGGAGGAATGTATAGGCATGGTGCATTTGCCCAAACAGCATTATTTGTACATGCCATACAAACGGAGTGCTAATGCCATCTTTTTCATTGCTATCAAATTCTTAAAATCACCGGGCTGTTAAAGTATCTGGACACTGCAGATACAAACTGAGACCTGCTTTGCTATGGCTAGAAATAGATTGTCAAACGAAGCAGATCAGCTCTGCCAGGATGTGTCCGAGCACAGCTGATTATTGGATTAAACATATGTCACTTGTCCCACCCATTAATCTTCAGAGACAATTGGTGACATGTTTCCTGCTTAGAGATGTTCCAGGGGCCACACTGGAGTGTCCAACTTGCTCCAGTACAATCTCCCTGGCAAGTCTGTAAGCAGGGAAAGTGAGGGTTTCCCCAGCCATCTCCATCCAGCATCTCTGTTGTAAGCAGGGAACATGTCACCCCTTGTCCCACAAGATCAGCTCTGGGCTGACCACGCTGTCCTGCCATGGACCTGGCAGACCTCTCCCAAAATAAAGTGGCACAAATTTATACCACCTGTGTTGCAGCCACAAATCATGGGCATTTGTTTGCTTTGTTTGTTTTCACCCTATGAGAGAGTTTCTAAAAGGCCTTCTTGCATTCTTGATACTCCATTGTTTAACAAACCTTGGTCTGCTTAACATGTGCACCATAATGTCATAATCTCAGGTTGCATTATCAAATAAAAAGCTCCTTTGACAGCCTTAATCCTGAAGATGGAGTCATGGTCCCGTCTTTGGAAGACTTCAAAATGCTCTTGGTTCCCAGCAAATGAGTAATGAATGCCATTGATTTGGATTATCCTCTCCACTTCCATACTTTACACACAGAACTGCTTCCACCAGTCTCTGCAACAACTTCTGGCAATATTACTCCAGCTTGGACCAAGACACAGTTCCAGGACACATGCATTCCTTTTCAGTATAAACTCCCTTATATGTTATCTGTGTTTCCACTAATGATGAGGTTATTTAAAAAACTGAAACAGGATTAAGCCACAGTAGTTCAATTAACACAAACTTAGCTGAAGTATCTCAATTTGTCAAACTTGTCCATCCAGCCACCCTGGCTCCTTCCACTCATATATGTCCTCCTGTCAGAAGCAAGGTCAATCACTTTGTCTAAAACCACACTTAGTAGATCTCATTAGTGGTTAAATTAGTTCAGGAGGTCTTTGAATCCTTGGAAGATGTTTAGACTACACTCACTAATAACAGAAGTTTACAAAAACTACTTATCTCACTACATGGAAAAGATTCTCAGCCAGGGCTGTTTCCAACCAATTCTGTCCACCCCACTCTGACATTCAACATATATTATATTATCTGTTACACCAAAAACCTTCCAGGCTCACTTTCTTCAGTTAAAGTTAATCTATCAGCCATTTCAGGGATGCACCCTCCAATACAACAGAATAGTTTTCTCTTCTCACACCCACCCCCTAAGCTGTAAAGAGTCTTTTAAGGCTTATATACTAACTGTCTATTACAAACCCTGAGATTAGACCCATCTTACACAATACTCACCAAGGATAAGGTTTTCTTAGAAGCCACAACCTAAATTCAGGCCAAAAGTTGCATCAGGCTTTTGCCCAAATCTAATAGTTTACTCGCCTATATGCTTTTCTTAGCTGCACTTCTAAAAGATGAAGAGGCTTCATTCTCTCGTCTTTTTTTTCAGGGTGCTATGCCAAATAGGCAAAATGAGGAAGCATAGGGGAATAGCATGGCTATTCTTTAGCAGAGGGATCAAAAGGTAATGCAATATTAGGTTAACAAATCTCCAGCTGGATTCTAGCATGTATAAGATCTTCCACTTTAGCTCACAGAACTCCACCTATTAAAGGTATCCTTCCCCTTTTATATGAGTGAGGGATCCTTCAGCAGCTTTTCTGAAAAGTATTACTATTGTGGATGTCTGCAAGACAGATACATGATCATCACTTTTACATTGTCTTGACATGCTTCCTTACTCCAAGCTTGACCTGATGCTGATGCTGGTGAGGCTGTTCTATACTAGAAGGTCCTTAGCACCACCACCTTAATAGACAACTTCTTGGAAGTTTGAACACTAAAGTTATGCACACAGTCACCTGAAGGAGAAGAGATAATTGCTTTTGTGGTAACTTGTGAGATGTCTTGTGCACAGCTATATTTTTCACTTTCTCCACCCCCACATTTTTAATGATGGATCATTGAAAGCAAGAAGGCAGCCACATCTACTCATGTCCAGCATGCTTCACCCCAGTGGTAATAGCGAAAGTCTCTGGCTTAATTACATTGTGCACACACACTTGTGATGGACTGTGGGTGTGCATAACACATGTCAAAGAACAACAGCTGCTGTAAAAGTAATTCCTTTTTTCCCCTCCACAATTACTCTTCAAATTTTGGTTTATTCCTGCTCACTGCATGCATCCTGTGTAGAATTTATATAATAAATTCTGAATTTCCTAATGTTTTTAATTAATGTAGAGCTGGATCTTGTAAATCGCAGTCATCTCAATGGGTTTACAAAATAATTTGAGATTATTTTGACCCAGGCAGGATCCTGAGATGTATCAGTTTTATTTTAGTATTTCCTGCATGTTGCGGGACTGGTCTCATCAGCTTTACACCAGGGGGCAGTCTAAGTAGCTCCCAATGCAGTCTCAGATCTGACTTAAAATCTGGTAAAACCGTAAACCCAAGTTCTTCACATCTGAACAGGAAAGTATGGGAAAGAATGTAAATTATAAACACTGAATTCCTATAATCAGCAATAAGGTAAGGTCAGACTGTATTAAACATGCACATGGATTTAATTTTAGTATTTTCCATACTTCCGGAGTTGCAAATGCATGTGAAATGATGGGATTACTTATTTTTATGGTTAAAGCTACGGCTCTTTTAGGGACTTGATCCAAAGCTCATTCTGTAAATATTAAATGGGGAATAAAGTTAATGCCTTGGTGATTTTTTTTAAAGCCCACATGATTTACTATAAATATCTCAGGTTAACATTGTCCAAGTACTGGGTGTCTATTTGAGCTGTGGCCTTTTGGGGGCCATGGCTCTCTCTCCTGTCTTTGTAATGTAGACACCAGTCTGTCAGGGCCTCTAGATGATGCTGTAACATAAATGCAAACTAATAAAGCTTAGATTTTTAAAAGTTGCTTCTCATTTTATGTTACCAACTTTGGACACCTTGGCCTGGTTTAAAAAAGAATCCATGGCTCCTCTTGACTTCAATTACACGTGCTCTACACACAAGCCTACAAAGTAATAATGCTGTCAAAGAATGCTAAACTTACCACAAAAGAAGTAGAGCAGAGCACACAAATGAATAGTTTTGGGGGGAAGCTTTTAAATTAAAACTTTAAATTGTAGTTTTGACCTTGATAGTTTAAAATAAAAACAACTGTGGTCTTTGGGAGCAGAATGAGGCTTCTATTCAGAGTTTCCAACACACACACACGCGCACACTTTTTGTTGTCCAGTTGTAAGGGAAGCAAAGATCTTTCCAACAGCATGGGCAAGCAGTGTGAGTTTTGGACTGGGCCCTCCTGGTTTCTCCCCCTTGACCAGTACCCTTTTCATTGGGATATGGATCTGAGGAGGAGGCTGGAGTGCTGATTGCTATTTATATAGACTGGCTAACACTGGGGAAAAGCTCCTCAGAGGTCTAGTGACTTGTGATGTGCCATGCCACAACCCACAATGCCTTGTGTTCTTTCAGGAGCCCAAGCACCTGGCAGTGGCAATGAGGCTGCAAGTTTGCTTACACAATTCCCCTTTCCTCTCTGGTCCTTTTGGGGAGCTGAAACCATTAAGTGTTTCATTCTATTTCCCTATTGCTTACATGTATTTTTAGGTGGGGGGGGGGCAGGGAACGGGGCAATGGAAAGTCTGTGTGTTGCAAATATTTAAATGTCTCAGTCTGCTAAACGAGACTTTTTCCAGTAAAAGCCAAGCAATGTGTTGGTTAAAGATTTTGAAATTACTATTTACAATGGAAACCTCAGCAGGGTGGTTGGTACTGGTGACGGCTGATTTGGAGAAGTTCATATGACAATGTATAGATGTACTTGAGAAAATCCATTCCAGCTGTGCTGACATATGGTCAGATGACTGAAGAAAAAAGAGCTCACAGTTCTGAGGAAAGGCAACACAGGACACCTCTGCTCTGAATTCTATTCTCTATTGCTACAGCATCACTTTTTTGGTTTTACCTCATTTTAGAAGTTACTCTTGCAGAACTATCTAGGGAGAAGAAAATGAATACAGTCCAGGACCTACTAACTGAGGGGTATTTCTGTGAACCAGAAAAGTGCCCTGGAAAACCCTGATATGCCTTTTATTAAATGAGTTAAGATGTTGTAGTTTCTTTCCCCTGTATATGCTGTAAGAATGGTGTGTGTCACAAAGAGCAAAATGTTGGCATTACACTTTTTATACATAAGCTTATTTCTGCGTGTCAGCTCATTTTGCCACATTTCACTCTCAGGTTTGCTAAAATCAGCACATTCTGTTTGACCAGAGTACATTTGGAAGAG